TTTGATTGATAATTAATTTGTTAAGGTCACTGTACACTTGTAAGATCACCTTTCTTGTTATGTTTACTCTATTTCAACATATCTGCTGCATGTAGATAATGTACAGAATAAAAATATACTAGAAAATCATTTTTGAGTTTGTGAAAGTTTGTAAAAAAAGTGCAAGATAGCTAAACAAATGTAACAGTTAAAACAATGATAACTCAAATTTTAATTGCTGAACTTAAGAAAACATTATTGATAGAAAGCACTGTCTTTCTGGTACTCAGTATCAAAATAAAAAGGAAAACAAAGAAAGAGTAAGATTTGGAAAACCAAAAGTTTTTGAAATGCAACAAACACATATCTAATGCAGAAAATGCTATATCTGAGTATATTCAAAAAACAATAGAAAAAACACTAGAAATGTGTATTCAATTCACGTTAACTTCGTCCCTTTTCCATTACAGTTAGTTATGCAATGTTCCTCCTTTCTGACATTGTAGCATTGATTATTTCTGAATACTTTGAATATACTCCATCTACTGAGGGATAGAAAAGGTTAAGAGAGTATAATAGTATTTTTTATGTATATAATAAATCATCTAATACAATTAAAGTACATCCAGTGCATAGAATATTTTGGAAAAGAAGCCGAAAAATAAACTTATACAGTATAACGAAAAAAAAAAAACGCCCTGAGAAAACCACTTTATGGCATCATAATACAACGCCAAGTTAGCTAAAAATAAACACAGAATATCAGAAACCCTAAACACGGCATAAAATAAAATATAAGCACAACAAGGGAGTTGTTACTATATCCAGCTCTTCCCATCCACTAAACTAAACGTTAAAATACCCCCCCCCCCTTAAAATCCAACTTCTATCATTCAGATACTTATTAAGCCGGACGCTGCTCAATTGTTTCCTTGCCGTGTTTCCTGAACTGCACGATGATTCTGTTGACTGTCGAAAGCGGGATTCCCAAATTCTGCGAGATTTGCCGCTGACTTATTTCACCATCTG